GAAATCTCCTAGTCAGGGAATTCAAGATATTATCTTAGGTCTATCTTTGTCCTCCCTCCTTCATGCCCGAGACAGCACAATGTCCAATCTGATGTCACCCTCCTATCATCTGAAACTACTTTGATTTCCATGCTGGTCTCTAACACATGCCATTTTTTCTGTCTGAAATGCTGACCCTAATTGGTCTCCCGTCTACCCTTGGACCTTCTAATAATTTTTCTCTTCTTGAAAGAATCACAAAAGTCTGGTCATTTTATCCTCTGTGCCTGTCACCCTTCTAGGGGATTTGGAATGTTCAGGGTTATCACGGTGCCAGCGATACTCTGTGGTTCCCAACATCATGTCGCAATGTGTCTCCTGCCTGTACTGACTATATGAATTACAATCCTTCCTATCAAAAGTCCTTGGTGCGTTTTGTTTTTTACCTAAATATTCATTTTGCAAATGTCTTCTCATGCCAGATAAAGGTCTTTCTTGACTGTTCAAAGTAGGCTTGCCACCTCTACTCTCCCTATCACTAAACTAAACACAGTTTCCCATTAATATTTTTGCTTATATGCCTCTTTTCTTTCTTCTGTTTGGAGTTCTGACATCAGGTGACAATTAGAAGTGTATTTTCTAGTTCTATGATTTGGGGGAGGAGAAACGAATTTATACGTTTCTGTACACTGTAGGCCCCAAGGTGATGACATATGTCCGGATAGGTCTTCCCTGCCCTTACAGGCAAATCCTAAAACAATGGTTCACCTATCCTCTAGGTATTTCTTAATCCAGTCAAGTTGATACTTAGAATTAACTATCCCTTAACCTGGCAAAACACCATGATCTGCATGGCTAGTGTTGTACAACACTGTCCTTTGTTTAAATGTTCCTGTCACTGACATTACATTATCAACCAAAGAATATAGACCCATTTAATTAACAATCTAACAAAGCATGTCTCTAAAATTTTCCAAGAAATTGCATGCCACTGTTTCTTAATCCCATGCTTCCTTTGGAGTTTATTTTTAATAGAAGATTCTGGGGAAAATATTACTTTCTATTAAACACACACATACACACACACACACGCACATGCACACGCACATGCACTTTTGAGACAGGCTCTCTCTCTACATAGTCCTGGCTGTTCTGGAATTCACCATGTAGACTATACTGGCCTCAAACTCAGATCTGCCTGCCTCTGCCTCTGGTGGGATTAAAGGTATGGTCCACCATACTTGTCCCCTTTCTATAGTATTTGTAAAATATTTTTAATAACTACTGTTACTTAGATCTTCTATGTTCATACCACTCTGTGTTTTCTTACTCTACGTTCACTTGAAACCTCTATCTACATATAATGGAGTATATTTAGTCCTTGCATATTTCCAGACCATAGAGTAAAAGTTTTATTCCCCCCTTACATTTAGCACTTTTATTTTAGCCATAGAAAGAAAGTATGAGACCAAAATAGTTGAACATTTAATGTGCATTATTCCCAGATTACTATAGTCTTAGTTCAATACTTTAGTAAAAGCGGGTGATCTTTTTTTTTAACTGTACACCAGCTATCATTTTACTTAATTCCCAAATTAAAACTGTTTCCTCAGTTTTACTGATGAGTCACTGAAGACCCAGAAAGGGTGCTGGCTCATCCGATAGTCTATAGCTAAGAGTGTAGCACAACCAGTGTTCAAAGTCAGGTCTGTGTTATCTGGAGAATCGATCATGCCAAGTAAATTAGACTTTCATGCAGGGAGCAGAATAGGAAGAATTAAAAGTAAATGAGCAGATAAATAAATAAATAAATAAATAAATAAAAACTCATTAGCATCCTCAAACAATCTAATGTCTGCTGTGGCTAGGCAGCTCAGACGTCTTCAAGAAGAGCTACTTGAGTAAATGGCCCTTTCAACTTTACAAGTAGCCTTTAAAGAAAGTGCTTTACAGAATAGACCATATTAGGACTATCTTGTGTTCTTTTAATACAGTATGATCGACTGGTCAGAGACTTCAAAATTTCAGTTAGACAACAGAATAAAGACTGAGAGTTCTGTTGTATATATTGGAAACTATAACTAATAATATGCCATGCATTCAAAACATGCTAAGAGGACATTTTCAGTGGTCTCATGGGGGAGGGAACCAATGTATATGTTAAATAGCCTGAATGAGCCATGCCATGATCCATCCAGACATTAAAACAGCATAGGAAGGACTGAGATGGCCTAGCATGCCCGAGGCCCCAAATTCCAACCATATCACCAGAAAAACAAAACAAAACAAAACAAAACAGCATCATACTGTATACCATAAATGTATACTTTGTGGGTGTTTTTCCTGCATGTATGTCTGTATACCATGTATGGGAATGATGCCCATGTAGACTAGAAAATGGTAGTGGATCTCTTGAAACTGGAATTACAGATGTGAGCCATTCTGTGGGTGCTGGGACTTGAACCCACGTCCTCTGGAATTGCAGTCAGTGCTATCAACCACTGAGTTATCTCTCTAGACTCACGTGTACAATTTTTAAACCATCAACTTGAAAAATAATTGTAAAAGATAGATTCTAGAACTTACTCCTGACTGATTCTGACACAGCAGTTTCACAAAGGAAACCTGAAACATCTGTCTAACAAAAGGTCTCTAAGATAAATTTGACCAAAAACTCATATGTGAGAGCCTCTGTCGTTAGAAGCTATATGAATTGCCACATTACCACTAGCTGGTGTGGCATGATACCTTGGTTGAATAGCAAGTTACCTTGTCCATGGACCTTGATATTTTTGACTCTAAAATGGAGTTGATAGCAGATACTTTATGTGTTTATGTTGAAGATTGTTGAAGTCAATGCTGTGCTGTTATTGTAGTAATTTTTGGTATGATACAATACTGGTTTGTGACAATTGGATATTCAGAGTTGCTTTTTATTTTACAATTAATTCACTTCTTTTTTAATTAATATAAAATAATTATATACAAAAAGGCTTACTGGGTTCTTGTTAGTTAATTATGTGTGTCCAAGTGTGTGTGTGTATGTATGTGTGTGTGTGTGTGTATGCGTGTGAGTTAGTGTACATGTATGTGTTCACACGTCGATATAGAGACATGATTTTAACCTCAGGTATCATTCCTTAGGTGCTGTTAAAGGATCTTTGAATAGAACCTGGTACCAATTAAGCTATATGGGTGTCCAGAAAGCTCCAGGGATCTGCGTATCTCTGCCTTCCCAGTGTGCCAACACACCTAGCCTTTTACATAGGACTTGGGGATCAAAGTGAGGCTCTCCTGCTGGCATTGGCAAGCACTTTAATGGCTGAGCTGCGCTGTTTTCACCACCTTGATTATTTCTCATTAATAGACACTAATAAAGTAAAGTAGCTGTAGTAAAACTTTTCGGAGTGCCAGATGATCCCCTAGCAAGACTTATCTGGGTAAATAAAGTATTTAAAAAAAACAAAACAAAACAAAACAAAAAAAATTCATATAAGTTTACTTAAGGCATACAAGACAATTGAACATAAAATTGAGCTGTAATCCAGAATTGGTACTAAATAGCCAATTATGTTTTATCTTTGCAATATTTATAGGCTCATCTACCAGAAATGACAGGAACATTTAAACTATGGTAATTATTTGATTAGCTATAAAATGTATTCTCTAATAAAACATGCTATTTTACTTGAGATTGTATCAACTCATTTAATGGCATGCATTTGTTCCTGCCAAAGGCAGTGTTTCAATTAATGATCCTTAGGGACTTAATCAAAGTCACCACAACTCTCATTTCTCATTCAGTGATGCCAACCAGAATGGAAAGCTTTCTGTATCGGCTTTATTTATTGTACTAAGTTTCCAAACTATGTGTCCATTCTAAAGCTTCCTGAAGAATTACTGTTTAAAAAATGGCTTTTTAATTTTCTAAAGTTTTCATCTTGATTAGAGTAACACTAAGATGTTTTCTTAATGTATCCAACTGTAAGTTTATGTTAAATCAATCACATTATCAATGTTTCACAGGTATTCCCCCTTATTTGAACAATTTCCATGAATGTTCAAGAAATAGAGATGTTTCTCTTTATTAGCCATGTGGCTGTTGTAGTGGGTTGAGTTGTTACCCTCAAAAGATGTCTACTAAACCTGTAACTATGACAATATTAGGACTAAGGGTTTTTGTAGCTAGAATTAAGGCTGGCAAGATGAACTTATTCTGAACTGGGGCAGCTACTAAGCTCAATGATTAATGCTTAGAAGAGACAGAAAATTAAAGCCTCAAAGACCCAAGGGAAGGGAGTTATGTGAATGTGGACAGAGACCAGAGTTATTGCCATAAGCCGAGATCTCTACAAGGCATGAGAAGCTGGAAGGAACAAAGCAGGATGCTTCCTGGATCTTTGGAAGGGCTGAGATCCTCACTGACACTTGTACTGGTGCTGGGTTCTAAAGCCATGCCCTTGTCCAGTCTCAACACACACTCTGCCACCAAACAACACTCTCCAGCCATCCCTGCCAACACTTGGATTTTAGACTTCTGGCCTCCAAAACTAATTGTGAGAGAAGGAACTTCTGTTGTGTTAAGTCACAAGACTTATGATGGTTTGAACGATCCTAGAAGCTAATTTTGGAATACATTTGATTTTAATGACAGATGGCTTTTATAAAGCATCATTCAAAGTAATAAGTTTTGATATGCAAAGTAGTAAGCATTCTGATATGTGTATCATTTTGATAAATATACTGCCATTTCTTTGTTCTCATTTGTCCCCTTGTCTTATGCCCCCTTCTTGCTTATCCCTTTCCTTCCCCTAAATGTCGTCCTTTTCTGCTTTTATGCAAATGACAAATTTTGAATTTATTTAAATGCTGGTTAACAGCTAATATGTTTACAGATGAGAACTTTTTAGAAATGGAAAGATAAAACATTATTAAAACAAGAGTGGTGGGGGGATATGCATACCTGTTATCCCATCCACATTAATAAAGTTACCATTTGGGTTTTGTCTTCCCTACCATAGATGTGGCTGGTGGTTACTCCTATTCCATGCTGGATGCCATCAGAAGAGCAGTGATGGTTTCCAATGTCCTCTTAATTAATAAGGTGAATGAGAAAAGCCTCACCCTCAAAGAAGTCTTCAGACTAGCCACTCTTGGAGGAAGTCAAGGTAATGACAGCTTCATCCTCTCTCACACCGTGTACAGCCATGTCACTCTGTCTTTGGCTATAGCGTGGAGGTGCACCACAGCAAACTAAGGCAAGCCCTATCTATATTCACGACTGATGTGTGTCATACAACATACCCAAATCCTAGCCATGTGGTGGGGCAACCATTCTTTCAATGAGTTCAGTCTTTGGTGGGTTTAATGCACTATTGTTATATTGATTCTTTTAGTGAATATTCATATTAGCCATATGCATATGAATTAAGATCATTTATTCTTCCATTGAGTCAAGTACTGTCTTTTCTTGAATGATAAGGCTATCAATAAAAGGGATTGCCAAGATAATTGGATTCTTTCCATGGGCCTGTCTGGTAAATGCCCTGGTCATGTGCTGCCGTTCAGTCCTCACTGCCACTGTCACTAATTTCATTTACAGAAAAGGAACCTGAGTAACACACAACTGACAAGGTGCGGCATGCCATGTTTGCATTCAGAAAGCACTAATCCAGATTGCAGAGTTGAACTTCATTATGCTGTCTTCCCGTATAAATTCCTGCCTAATCCGTGTGCTGATTACTCAAGCTTCTTTAAATGGAGAAAGAAGTAACAGTGTAGTTGACTGACAGTTGTGATTCATCATCTTTCCTTAGCTCTCATGTGCGACTACAGTTGAAATAATCACTTTGGTTTGTTCTAGAAATATTATATAAACAAAGTAGCTTCAAACCACTGGAAGCTCTAGAGCAATTAAATATGTATATACAGATCTATATAGATTTATGATACATACCCTAAATCAAAAATGGAAGGCCAAGAATATCATCTCTGCATGTTCTAGAATATCATGAACACTAAAAGAACATTTCAAGGTAGAGAAATCATAGTTACATTTTCCTTGGCCGTCTATTTTGTTTCTGAAGTTCTTAAGCCTGGTCCCACCTCCACACCATTATATATGTTATACACTTTAGCTCAGTGATCTGCTACCTACCCACTGATGAAAATAGGTTGAACTGAATGGATGTGATGTTTTTTAGCCGAGGCTCTGTGTTTCACTCTGCTAGGTTGCTGTTTCTGATCAAGCCACTGTGGAAACTTGCCAAAGCATTCCCCAGGGAGTGTATCTTTTAAAGCAGTATTGTTTGGCAACTGGTTACTGTTAGGGATGTCCTTCTTCTCAGTTGTGAATTACAGCTGTAAACATGGAGAAGCCAGTAGACATAGTCTGAGTGAAGTGGGTTAAGTCATTGGTGTTTAAAGTGCAACACTTCCCAGCTCTGCCACAACCTTTACACTCATTTTCTGTTAGCCAACGCCACACAGCCAGCATCCCTCAGGTAGAAAGTGCTACTTGATGGCATTTTCTGAAGCCGGCTGAGTTGCTGACCAGCCTGGTTGGGTCTATGGAAAGATCCAGATTTACATCCATTTGCAAGTTCACTAGAGGCTGTCATCTGTTTCTCAAATAGCTCATCTCTGAGCTCTCCGTTTTCTGATGAATTGCCCATTTAGTTTAGATATCCTCAGATGCTCTGGAGCTCACATTTGTGTCAGTTCCTCTGGATTACTAAGCACAAGCAATTTCATGTTGAATACAGTCACTGAAAGCTCATAGTGTAAACCAGGTGATGGTGGCTCATGCCTTTAATCCCAGCACTCTGGGTGGCAGAGGCAGGCAGATCTCTGAGTTCAAGGCCAGCTTGGTCTACAGATCAGGCTCGAGGACAGCCAGGATTACACAGAGAAACCCTGTCTCAAAAACAAACAAACAAACAAACAAACAAGCAAATAAATAAAACCCCTCAAAGTGTGGGGCTCCTTTGTCAAGGGCCAAAAGAAGCATGTAACCAATAAAAGTAAAACGTCTGTGTTTGGTTCATACCAGGCTCTCCCAGAAGTCACCTTGCTGCTTTTAACAGTTATTATTTCTACACCCTTCTCTGACTATGCGTTGCCTGCAGGTTAAAAAAAAAAATCCTTTCTTTACAGACAGTGAAAAAGAGTCTCTAAGTAGTGTTTTAAGAACAACAAGTATGATTTCAATTTGCTATTCTGATAATTGCCATGTTATTGGGATGTCTGTGAACAGAAATATCCTGTGTATACTGTGCCCATACCAGAAAAGCAAAGAAAAATCTACAGAATACTTCCCCATAATAAAATACACTGGAAGTGACAGGACACAGCAGACATAAATCTTGGAGTGGACAGTACACCATGAATGTGATCTCAATGCACCTCTTGCTCAGAATGCAGGCTTTAAGGAGCTGGCAATCAGACAGCAGCATTGGCAACAAAAGTAGACACCTGCAGTTCTTTAATAAATTATGAAAATGAGGCGTGCTCTTTCTTGGCATCCAGAAACCATGGACATGAGCTGTAAGCTTGGAGAAGCCAGTAGACATTTATTGGCCTGTGCCCTAGTTTAGCAAACCATTCTTCATGGGCAACCAGAATACTTTTGAAGTTACAAAATCACTGGGACTCTTGAGTTACAGGGTCTCTAAACTTTGAAATGGATTTTTTTTCCTATTCAAAAGATTTAAACTAAAGAATTCTTCATTGGTATACCTGTATTGAAAAATTGGCAAAGCTTTTTTTTTTTTAATTTGAGGTTCAGTTTGCTGCAATGAAAATACATATAACCAACTATTAGCTGGGCAGTGGTGGCGCACACCTTTAATCCCAGCACTTGGGAGGCAAAGACAGGCAGATTTCTGAGTTTGAGGCTAGCCTGGTCTACAGAGTGTGTTCCAGGACAGCCAGGGCTACACAGAGAAACCCTCTCTCTAAAAACCAAAAGAAAAAAAAGGAAAAAAAGAAAGAAAAAAGAAAATACACATAACCATCTATCTCATGGAACACAAAGGTAAAGCTAGAAGTGTTGGGGAGAAGGGGGAGGTATGAAGGATGTAGGTTATGTGTCAAGCTCACTGCTTTGAAGGTTCAGTGGAGCTCACTGACAGGGCTAAAGTCAAGACCTCATCAGAACTATGACATGGCAATGCACAGAGCTATTTGCTTTCCTGTTCTCCATTGTCTATGCATAGATCTTGTGTCCTGTTGGGATGGGAGCACTTTTCTATCTCACACGTAAGATTCTAATTTTGGAGGGTCTAGGTATATGTTGGCAGGGTCTGTCCATATAAACAAGGACACTGGAATGATTCTGAGGGAATTCTGACTGCTGTTCACTTGTGTCCATTTGTAGCCCTGGGGCTCGATAGTGAGATTGGAAACTTTGAAGTCGGCAAAGAATTTGATGCCCTCTTGATCAACCCCAGAGCATCGGACTCTCCCATTGATCTGTTTTATGGGGATTTTGTTGGTGATATTTCTGACGTAAGTAAAAGTTAAACAAAATGCCTTTTCTTGGGGGAAAGGGGATTATTTTTAAACCAATCATTCTTAGTAAGATGTATTCATTTATTTTTTGTGAAAAATTAATCCTTGGATTTTGTTACTGTTTGTTTTGTTGTTTTAAATATAGTTTTTTAAAAAGATGTATTTATTTTATGTATGTAAGTACACTGTAGCTATCTTCAGATATACCAAAAGAGGGCATCAGATTCCATTACAGATGGTTGTGAGCCACCATGTGGTTGCTGGGAACTAAATTCAGGTCCTCTGGAAGAGCATTCAGTGCTCTTAACTGCTGAGCCATCTCTCCAGCCCTGGTTTTTGGCTTAAGTTTTTTTTGATTGTTTTTGTTTTTTAGACAAGGTCTGACTATGTGACCAGATTATCTGAAGTTTGTACCACTTGTTGTTTCAGGGGAGACAAACTGTCTCTCCCTCTGTTGGTTCAGGTTCAAAACTGGTAATCCCTATTAACCAGAGCAAAGCATGAAGATATAAGTTATCTATGATACAAGAAGTCATAAATGAAGCACAATTCCAACAAACCTGAACTTTCCTCTGCCAGGTGTGATGGAGGATGGAGAGCTGTGGAGAAATGGGTGTGGCGTAAGGATTTTAAACTGACAGCCTTAGCAAGGCTTCAAGTGTAAGAAAGACAGCGATGATCCTGGGGTAGGGGAGCACTTTTCATCTGCTTGCTCTCACAAGACCACAGGAACATCCTAGGATTTGATTCAGGGAAAGGCCAGACATTTCCCCTAGGTGTTAGGACCTGCTTCCAGAGAAAAGTAAAATGTCAAATGTCTTTCCTGCTTTTGATTTTAGGAGAGGGTTTTCAAGTATCATTATATTCCTGGTTTTCATTATTTTGCTTTTCATTCTTATATTAGAGTAAATTTCTGAGTAATAAGCTTTGTTTCATTAATTTCATCATTTTTCTTCTGTAATACACCTTTTGACACACCTGCATCATTTTTTGTAATGATTTCTTTGATTTGTGTATTACTCTGCCTCTGACATTTTAAAGATTGTCTGTCAAGAATATTCTAGAAATAAGCAGGATATGGTAGCACACTCCTTTTATCCCAGCACTACAGAGGCAAAGACAGTAAGCTCTAAGTTTGAGGCCAGCCTGCTCTAGTTAGCAAGTTTCAGAACTATGTAGAGAGCCCCTGTTTCAAAAACCAACCAACCAACCAACCAACCAACCAACAAACAAACAAACACCAGTAATGGGCAAGTACTTCTTAAAACTAGTAGACTGTGATTTTTGTTTGCCTTCTCTGGACTTAGATTTTCATTTATTCATTTGTTTTTGATAAGACCATTCTTTATTAAAATGTAAGTTTTGTCATTGAGAAATAAATTCCAATTTCTGGACTTTGCCAACAGCATTTATCCATAAATTTTATTTCTAATTATACAAAGTAGTATTTCTTACCACCTCTATTTTCTATTTTTAGGCTGTTATCCAGAAGTTCCTCTATCTAGGTAAGTAGATTTATGTTTCTGGGCTAAATACAATCTTTTCTTTGTTCAAGGCTATTGGTGGTGCGCATTAAACTCTATGCATGTTAATTTGTGTTAACTTATCTTTAAAAACAGTTCTCAGCACTGAGCTTACGTCCTATGGCACAATGCCTAACAATTCCAAGAGCATTTAAGACTTGAGCTGGTATGTAGAGGGAAAGAGAGCTTAATGTCAAGTCCTCTTGTGCCCCACAACCTCTTATCCTGGGACAGAACTGAAGTCACAGTCGGAGGTTCATTCCCTGAGACATAATTGGATCAGGAGAGTCTATTCTGCCTCCCTTCCTACTGAGTGAGCTCAGTCCTGGACAATGGTAAGCGTTGAGAGGGCACTTCTGCAGGCTGCTCATCTCAATGTGCTGAGAATGATTCTGGGGCCAAAGATAATGTATAGGATGTCCTTTCACCTGGGACTGGAAATGCCAGGTAGCCACTTCAGCAGAAAGGTCAGAGATGGGAGATTATTGAGCTTTCTATGATTTTCACCTCAGATACAGAATGGAGACTCCAATCCTCAACAGGCTAAGTGGATGCTTTGTCTTGATCAAGCCATCTCAGGGAGACCATAAATGATCTGGGAGAAATAAGGTTTCTACCTTTGGGGGCTTGTGTTTCTTCTTTTAAAAGTGTTTAACTTAAAATCTAAAGGAAATTAAGGCAATCATTGACCCCAAAAGCACAGTACAAATGATTCTTTGGTTTTAATTTCAGGAGACGATCGAAATATTGAGGAGGTTTATGTGGGTGGAAAGCAGGTTGTTCCATTCTCCAGCTCAGTGTAAGGCTTTGGACATCCATGAAGCTCTCCTGGGAGAACATGATTCTGCAATCTTCCTTGTGCCCAGGGACCAATCAGAAAGTATATTTTAAAAAAAGTACCATGTTCTTTGGATGACTTCTGTTCCTGTGTCTCCTTCCAGTGCTCATTTGGTAAATTGTTCGAAGGGAGTACGCTGCTTCTCCACTGTGGTCCGAAAGCATTCGTAATTTCATGACAGCGCCTCCCATTGGGCTGTTTAGATTTGTGTTAAGGTCACACAGAAGGCAGTATTAACAGCTGGCAATGTGCTTTTAATAGTAAGGTAAAGCCTTTCCATATAGGGAAATACAGGGTGAGGAGCTCTCCCTATGTGGTTAGACACTCTGTGCTAATGACTGAGAAAATTTAAGAAACTACAGTATGGACCAATGAGCAGATGTTTATGAGAGGGAACAAGCTAGACATTGAGAAGACATTGGAAAATCATTGTTTGTGCTTGGAAATTAAGTATTGAGAACACTCTTATAAAAAGAGAACTTACTGGATTTAAAACATGCTTCTAGATTGAGCTTATCTATGGAAATTTGCACTTTGTGAAATTTGCATTTCAGGGTGTGCTATTGTTATGCTTTCCCTTCTTGAGATGAATGTCAGAACCGGAATGCCACATGCTTTTCAAATATAGTTCTGTGCTTCAAAGTGTTTGACAGAAGTTGAATATTAAAGATTTAAAGTCTCTTAGGGATAGTATTCACATAGCCACATGGCATAAATAGTTGTGTTTTTGTGTACTTCAAAGTCATCTTGATTCCTGGCTGTGAGGTGTTCAAGTTGCTTCTATTTTATTACATGAGAAACAAGCCCTGTGTATGTTGCTGCCCTGTAGACTGGAGATTTCATAAATTGGGGAAGTAGTGTATTCCCCAGAGCTGTTAACACTATCAGGACAGGATTCTTTGTAATGCTGAATCTACCCAACCCAATGTGTCAACGTTGCTGTACAGTTCACCCTCCCCTCAATGTGCTAGAACTTAAAAGCCAAGTGAAAGTCCCTTAAAGAATTAAGGATAAGACTCTGTAAGGTCTGTATATTGAAAGAACTCTGTTTTTCTAATTTATCAAATTGTCATTATAATTCTTTGAGATTTTTCTGGCATCAAAATCTTAGAATAATGAAAAAGATATAGAAATGCCATTTAATGTTTGTATTTCTAGAACTTACCTGTACTAGACACCAACAAATATTAAGCAAAAGAGGACCCCTTAGCTTTTCTAGCTAATATAGTATCCCTTCTCACACCAGAACTAAAACCAGGTCATAACCATGTGGCAGAGCCTTAGGAAAGAGTGGTGTGGTTTCTATTTAAATACTACATTTTTCTCAATTTATTCCACCTACAAGCAAGCAAGGACCAGGAACAAGTTTTATTAACAAACCATTTCATTCCTAGGGTTTAGATGAGTTTCTATTTTATCTTATAACAGAAAAAAAAACATTAGGCAATAGAGTTAGTTTTCATGTCTAAGAATACATAGTTCCTCTGCTGTCCCGTAAACATCAGTTTCACAGCCCATGCTAACTCAGCAGTAACTTGTCCAGATCTATTTTCCTGGTAGAAGTACTTTTAGATCTAGTTGTGTATACATTAAATCTAAAGATGATACACATTTTAGATATCTTACTTCATTTTATCTTTAAGAAAAAAAAGACAGAATTTGTCTTGTGGGATATAAGTAAGTAAATCCAACCTCTGGTTTTAGTCTGGATGTCCAGTGTTTCTAGCACATCAGAAATATCAAAATGATCTGCCAAATCCCCTCCCAGATTTCTCTCTGGGGCTGGCAAGTACTTTAGGCTGTGTCTTTTAACTCTTGCCAAAGGGACTTAGTTACAGGGTATCTAACTGGAGTGAGGCAGCTGTGGAGCTTAGGTGTGTGTCGGGTAGACATCTGCCAGCCACCAGCCACCTCCAGCCTTTGCAGACCCCATACTCGTCCTCCTTAAGGGTATGCATTTTTGTGTTGAACATCAGCTTTTATTTAAATGTAAGACCCCCACGCAGTAATATAAGTAAGTGTAATACTGGAAGTGGGAATAACAGTGGTCATATAACATCATCCAGTCGAGCATTCAGATTTGTCCTGATAATGTGTTGCCAGCCGAATAGATAAGGTGTTGAAGTGTTTACATGTACTTTGAGTACTTTGATCTCCCTGCATCCCTTATAACATATGTGTTTTAGTTCCCCAAGTGAAGTGTTCATGAGTGTTACTTATGCTTGTTTGAATGTCCCACACATGGGGCCAGATGTCCTGCACTTTGAAATGCTGCGTTCACCTAATGTAGGTTGACTTTCCTGATTATTGATAGGCACTGTTCCAAGCCTATCCCAGTTGTCACTTTATGTTTGAATGGTTTGCTCTCTGTTGAAGAAAGGAAAAGAGAAACAAAGACAGGGGAAGAGAGGAAAGGGGTAGAGAGAGAAAGGGAGGAAGAAGAGAGGGAGGGGAAAAGGAAGGAAGATTAAAACATTATCCTGCCTACTCCATACCATTTGAATAGTTTCTTTAGAATTTTTTGATGGACTTCATTATAAAAGGTTAGAAAGCATTAAAAGTAATCATGTGTGTTATATTTATAAAATATTCTTGCAACCAAAACGCAAAAGTAGACTAATCAAGTTGAATTTGATTTTCAAAAAAAAAAAAGAGGGGGAAGTTCAGGGGCATTGAAAATAAGAGATTAGGACCCACAAGGTCATGCTAATCTACAGGGTCAGAGAGGCTGTATTCCTCTATTGTATTATCTTAGCTGGTTCTTTACTTGCACTGTCAAAGACTTCATAATCCCAGAGGGTATACCAGGAGGGTACCTTTCTAAGTTAATCTTGTGAACACTGAATTTCTTTGCTTCTTTAGTGAAAACATTTCAAGATAAATGAAAGGAAATTTTAGAAAACCCCCTCTTCATTGCTTAGCTGATTTTGAGGTGTGCCCTCGAATATCTCTGAAATCATACAGAGGCAACATGACTGCCAGATCTGGCAATGTGTTCTAAATCTTCACTCTCTACCAGATTAGTTCTATTTTTAAGCTGTTTCACTTTGGAAACAGACATATGGAAAGCCTACAAGGCACGCTGGAAAGCACATTGTATCAATTCAATCAGTGTATATATGTGGAAGATACCCAGAACCGGATGCTTCTGCAGCCTGGTGGACATCTTCTACAGTTACTGTTGCTGGACTATTCAAATATTTGAAAAGAGTTGTCTTAGTTGTTAACAGGTAGAAGGAGACATGCATCATGGGCAACTACTTAAAATAAATCTTAAATTACAGGGACTCTGTGATATTTAAAAAAAGACTGAAAAGAGATGTTTGCAATTTTTAATCTAGCTGCTGTAGGTATGACTTTGCACAGTACACTTTATAATGTCCTCAGAGAAAGCATGAAAACATTTCTAAAGGCGTGGGAAGAAGCAGACAGGGGAGAGGTCACTGAGAGAAAAACTCTTGATATTCGCTACCGTGCATGTTTTCAAGTCTACCCCACCTTCTTGCGCATCTCCAGCACTTAACATGAGAGATGGAGTGTTGAAGGGTTAGTTTGTAGACCTAGTCCAAATTTAGTGAAATGCAAAGCCAAGAAAGTCAATGAGGAAATTAAATGTAAATTCTGAGCAGGCATTTATCAGGTTACTTGAGCAACCAATCATTATTAATTTCTGTTATTTGGCAGTGACTTCTCTGTCTATTTCTTACCCAAAAAGCCCATCAGAAGGCATTCCTTACATTATTGTTAACCTCTTGATTGCTGTTCTTAAGGATAGATACATATATGTGTATGTAGTCAAGGGGACATCCTTCCCCTCAGTATCTGTGAGATTTGCTTATTGTTAATGTACTGAGTGAGCTCCTTTGTGCATCAGGAAAAAAAAAATAAATAAGATTTTGTGTTTCCATTGGTGTGTGTTGTATTTGCTGTTTGCTTTGATTGCAAGTCATATCAGTTTGATGGAAGAAGGATGAATCTGATAATACATTTTTTCCCTTTTTTTTATATAATGGATTGAAAAACAGACTATAATATTTAGCTGTGGGCCAACATACATCTTCCATCCTATGGTACATGGTTTTTTAAATGAAGCTACTGCAATCGCTCTTCTAGACTGTCAGCTTGTTTGGGTTGATTAGGGGAGTAGTTCAAACATGTTCTAGTTGTGTCCATGAGGAAGTGTGAGTAATGACTAGATCGTTAGATCATGAAGGCTGCAGCCTAATGAACAATTTCATCCACGAATGAATTCAAATTTAGACTATACTATTGGGGGAGGGGTGGAACAAGAGCAGGTGAGGCCTCATGGGAGACTGTAGAAACTAGAGACATGTTATTAGGGGTCATTTCTTGCCTTGGCCTCTTCCTGTTACTGTTCCATTCCTCTTCCTGTCTGCCATAAAGTAAATCATTCTATCATGCCCTCCTTGCTATTTTTACTACTATTATATTCCATTTTGTTCTCTAAATTTTATTCTGTATTTATGCTTTACTATGTGGTTTCTAGAAACTTGGTGCTTTCTAGAATACCTGATGAGGTATCAGACCCAAGGTCTCTGTGTCACAATCAGCACTGTGCTAAGGTCTGAGTCTAAGCTTGGCCTCACCCAGCACGGGAGGAGGCAGAGGTAGACTAATTATCCTAGGTCTCCATGTCTCCAATGTTTTGTCTTTTACTTTCATTTTTTAAAAATCCCTTTTATGTTTAGGGACAACCACAGTGTCTATCCTTAGGTCATGAGGATTAAGTGATATGTTGCATAGACAGCATGTAAGACAGCATCCAGCCACCTGGGTGTTCATAGTTCAGTAGATAGAACCAGAAAAATGGAATACACACTGGAGATTAATTGAACCTCTTAAATATTTATCAGTTTGTTTTGAAATATTAATCAAAATTAACCACTCAAAATTAATCAAATATTAAGGGTCTTTTATCCACAAAACATTCTACATATGATTTCTTAACAGTGTTACGTGTTCATGTTTCTAACCTAGAGAATGAAGCCTAAAACCTGCTGTAGATTTGATTTACAAATTTACTCGTATCCCCAATGCCTCAGCAGGTCTCAGAACAAGTCGAATGGCTTCTCTCTCTTTCTCAGAACAGATGTGGGGAGTGTTGGGAGGTAACATCTGAGTACTGAGGAACCGTCTGGGCTTCTGAGATGTGGTGGCCCAGGAATCCAGTCCCTTGGGTAGAAAGCCCGAGGACATTCAGCTGAAGCACATGTCAACTGCTTTAAGACTCTGCCTACCCTAGGCAGCTTTCCTGAACTGGGAGGGGGACCTGCTTTCAGCAATGGTCATATTGTCTCCTAGCACCCACCCTAATAAAGTTCCTTTATTTCACTTACTGCACAGCTGGCTTGTCTTGCCTGACTCATGCATATAACTAGAAACCACAGCCCACGCTGGACCGGGCTTTGTGCTGGCTAGTGTTATGTCAACTTGACACAAAGTAGAGTCAATTGGGAAGAGGGAAGCTCAGTGGAAAAATGCCCCTACCAGACTGGCCTGTGGACAAACTGTGCAGCGGGTTTGTCTTTTTTTTTTTTTATTTTGATTAATGGTGAATATGGGAGGATCCAGCTTCCTATGGGTGATGCTACCCCTGGGCAGCTGATTCTGAGTTATATGAGAAAGCAGGTTGAGCAAGCCATGAGGAACAAAGGCAGTAAGTAAGCAGCATTCCTTCATGCCCTCTGCTTCAGTTCCTCCATGTAAGTTCCTGCTCTCACTTCCCCAGGGTGCTCTTCAAGCTGGAGATGAAAGCAACCTTTTCTCTCCAGACTGCTTTGTCATGGTGTTTTATCACAGTGGTAGAGACCCTAACAGGCATGGAGGGATGTCTTACACACTTTGTTCTGCTTTTGGGAGCATATAGAGGGTTGTGACAGTTTCATGTAGCCTAGGCTGACCTTAAACTCACTGGGTACCTGAGAATGACCTGATTCTCTTATCTCCACTTACTGAGATTACATGTATAAACAACCACACCTGACTCTGGCTTTTTGTCTTTTAGAGAGTGTGGTAAAAATATTCAGAAGAGAAATTTTATGAACACAAATTATCATCAATAATATAATAAACAATAATAATAATAATGTCCAGTTTGAGGTCATTGTGTTCTGTTATAGCAATTAACAGACACATTGTTTTTACATTACTGAATTAATGATTCAATAAAGTAGGATTTAGACATGAAATCCAGGACTGTGACAAGGCACTTCAGGGATCCATGAAGACATTACTCAGTGGAACAGGACATAAGTTTTCATTACCAACAAAAGCAGGCTTTTGTTTAAATCTTTCAAAGAATGGGAGTGGTAAATGGGGAGGGGGATGGGAGGATAAAGAAGGAAATATGTGGGCAACTAACACCAAAGACCTTTTGAAAAGTCATATGAAAGCTTACTACCATTGTTGTTTTCATACACATACATATTATATATGTATCCACCCCATTATATTATATATACATATGTATAAGTTCTAAATATATAAATTGATCCTAATATATATATTCTTCCTAAAGTATATATATTTATATATAATGCATCTATATACTTTTAAAATTCTCCTTATATGTATGTCACCATACATAATAGATGCATATATATATATATATATATGTGTGTGTGTGTGTGTGTGTGTGTGTACACATATATACATACACACGAAAGATTCACCATATAATGGGAGAAAGAGAATGTCCCAGCTGGACAATTAGACATGTTATACACCAAGTTAAACACTCAGTACCAGGAATGGATTCCATTTTGTTAAATCATTCGCCAAAGGGCTCCCATAGACATCCCTACCCCAAGGATCACAGGCTGTTGCCAAAGCTATTGGCTACTCTCCATATCCTGATGATCCTGTTACTGAAGGACAATTTGCTTGTGTCCTCAAACATGGAGAAATCAAGTTGGTTCCCAACTAAAAGCTCCACACCGACTGAGTAGTGTGCGTGGTGCTGGAAGGTACTCTGCACGCTACTGGAAGAGAAAAATAGTTATCAGCTTAGTCTTCAAGTGGCTACAAACCCTGGGCCTGTGACAGCAGAGGGTTGCCTGAAAGACATAGTGATATAATTGTGGCACAAAGAATGGGAGTAACCAACCAGTCTTCGATTGGATTTAAGATCTACTCCATGAGATGAGATCCATTCTAGACACTACTGAATTGTTGAAGAAGCTGAGAAAAGATACATCATTAGCCCTAGAGGAAAACTGGTGAGTTTTCACTATTCAGCTATAGGAACATAACAATAATATTCTAACAATGCTCTAATGATCTATGGCTATAGTCATAGATCAGAGCATTTCTCAACCCTCATCAGAGAAGCGTCTTCATGCAGTAGATGGTAATTAAAACAGAAAGCCACAAATAGATAATGTTCAGAAAGTGAAAAACTTTGGATCACTTAGTCCTAAATGGGATGCCATAATGAAACCTCTCCCTCCCCTCAATGCTCAGGGATCTATGCCAGGCTTTCGGGATCTCTCTTGAGTTTTAATGAAAACACAAAGGCGTCTACATAGTTTAAAGCTGTTGGGTATTTTTGCTGGGGCAGTCTGTCAGTTAGTTTCTAACTTAACCCGACTTCTCCACCACTCCATCTCTCTGCGTGGTTCTCACTGCCTGCTTCCTAGCTTCTTCCTGTTTCCCTTCTTCCTCTCGCATCTGCTTGAGTCCCTCTCCATCTCTGCCTGCCTGGACTTTAGGCTGGAGCTTCCTGCCCAACCCCAGCTGCTAGCTCTTTATTATGGAAAAAGCCACCTTACCCAAAGGTTGGCTGGTGAAGGTCACCATCCCCAGGGTGAAAGGCCAGTGAGGAAGTCTCAAGGTAACAAATGAAAACAAAAGAACATACTTTTTCATAGCGAGAAAATACAGTATTTATGAGTTACCTCAACAGAGGGAGTAGAAAAATAATAAAAACCAGTCGTAGTGGATGACCCCAAGGAAATAGCATCATCCAGACGTAACAGGACCGATACACATGAACTTGTGGAAGATGTCCACAGATAGCACAAGACCTACACATGTTTAAACCAGACAAAATCTTAGCACAGAGAAGGGGAAGTAGACACGAGGTCCCACCCCAGTCAAGCTATTTGCAATTAATATCTTCTGGCAAAGGGAAAAATCAGTTTTCTTCAGTGGAGTGTCATTGGTTATTGTAAGGGTCTGAAAATCACGGAAGGAAGACACCAGACTGAGATAGTATGCAAAGACAAAGAGTATTTATTAGGCAGAAACAACCAGTGGGGGGAGGAGAGGAGTCAACCATTTTTTGAAACGGGAATCTTATAGGGAACTGGGAAAACTCTCTAGAAGATTAGGTAATCCAAACTATCATTGATGGATAGTTTTAGGGGCTCACAGGTGATCAGTGGTCTGCATTCCCATGTCATAAACAATTAACCATAGGATGAGATAGGACTGCCCAGCACAGATGGCCCGTTCTGAGATAAGATATTTTCCCATTTTTGTGGCTATCCCCAGGCTGCTCTTTGGGAAGGGATTTTAAGACCTTGTTTCTGGATTTTATGTTCTGTTCCTGGAGCTTGCTGCCGTATGGCCTTCTTTTCAAAATCAGGCCTGGTCCTCAAATGGAGACAATGGGGTTTACGTCATCCTTTATTCTTTCAGATATATGAAACATACTCCAGGGCAGGCTCCAAGGACAGAAGTAGTTGGCCAAACAACGAGTGAACTCCACTTGGTTGTTGTCTTTTTGTTTTGGTTTGGTATTTTTTTTTAAATCGTTTTCTTTTTCTTTTTGAGAGAAAGAACAAAAAGTTGGGTGGGTATGGAAGTGGGGAGATCAGGGACATTGGGAGAGGGGAGAGAATATGATCAAAAGCTATTGTATGAAATTTTTTTAATGAAAAATGG